ACATAGAGGAAGAGATAATAACATTTTCAGTCCCACAAAGAATTGTCATAGACACTCATATACATGAAATCAATAAAATAAATGTTTTCATCTTGGGCATTTTTACTTTCAATAAGTAAATTATAAAGAAATTTTAGTGAAAATATATATAATATCTTTAAAGTTGTTTATAAAAACAATATATTAAGTATGTATATAATTCATCGGTTCGGTTTGGTTATTTCTTCGATTATTTTCAATTAAAACCATAACCAAACCAAATTCTATCGGTTTTCAAAAATCTAAAACCAAACCCAAATAAAATCGGTTTTATTTTATCGGTTTGGTTTGGTTTTTCGGTTTGGATCAGTTTTTATCCAAACCGTGAACACCCTTAGTTGTGTATTATGTTGATCACAATAAGTTTGATAATTTTTATTCATATTGTCTTCACGATTTGTATGTTGTGTGGAGTATTTAATGTCTGCTTATGCATATGTTCAAGTATTTAAATATCAATGAAGTTATGATTTTTTTTATTTATTTCTATTTTTGAAAAGGTAAAACAATTTATTGATAATAGGAAAGTTTCATATGTACAAGCAGTATGCCAAAAAGTATAAAATCTACTATAATATGATTTTCTACGAATCACACCCAGTCTCTTTTTTTCCTGATAAGCTAAAATCACACCCAAGTGTTTATACCAACTGAACCATCATGGGTGCACAAAAAAGAACTAGGAATTAGAGACTTTGTCAAATGTATTGTACACCCGTTTCTCTATCTCCTAGAAAACTCTCCAATTTTTTTCCTTCCATGGTACCACGAGTGCTAGTGGGCAAAAGTCGAAGCTCTTTGACTCTCTTTCTTCTTCTAAATTTTTAGTTGGATAAGTGCCTTCTTTATTGTGAGTAGCATCACTCATTGCATCCTGACACATCTCAAATTCTCACATCACAAACGAGTTGTCATCTGATAGTGTAAGAGGAGGTGGTCCACCTCTTCACCCAAACATTTTCACATGAACCACTGGCTTATATAAGTAATTCACCTTTTCCTCAAATTCTCAACTGTCAAAATTGAACAACACAATTCTTAGACCCAGGGGATCCAAACCCATAAGTATGTAAAATCCTACGCACCTAGACCTTTTGACAATATGACTTTACTGATAACAAGCCATCTCTTCCATTCCCGGCCACCTTACACGTTCTCCTCCATGAGTCCTGACTAGCATGAGATGTACTCTACTTATAAATCATTTCAACTGGACATTGAAAGTTTTTCCTGATCCTTACATCTAAAGAGCTCTCCCTCAGGTAACTTGATCCTTCTTTTTAGGTTCATTAGGATTTTGGTTTAGTTTTCCATGTGATGCCCTAGGACGAGGCGGTACTTGTGATATTTCAGCATGGAGCACATCTTCAAGATTGACCGACAACAGTCCCTTGACCAACTCCAGGTTCAATATAGAAGCAAGCCCTACGGCGTTCTACTGTCATCTCCCTTCTGTTCTGAAACTGTAAATGTTTGGGAATGAGTCTTAAATTCTCTACACCACTTGTGGCTCGAAAGCGATGATGGCTTGTTTCCTCATTATATTATATTCTCTTGGGAGTTACTCTTGAGAATATGTTTGTTTTCTTCATGGCTTTTATTCATTTGAATCGATTCAAACATATTATTATGCTTTCGGATTTTTTTTCTATATATTCTTTACTTAATTTATTTTTCTTTGCTTCCTCAAGAAAACAGTTTAATGTTGAGGACAAAAGTAAAAGACAGATGCTCAGTTTTAGTTGCCATAAAAAATCACAGAGATAGTTGCTAATAAAATCTTCTAAGGCTGCCCCTATAAATTCATCGAGCTAAATATTTTGAATGAGAGAAATTTTGAACTCAGGCAAATGTTCAAGAATTTTCACGAGCTTAAAAGTTGACTATTTTGAGTACAAATTTTGTAAAGATTTATACAAGATACATGTACAATGCATGTACATAGTGATTAGTTCAACCAAATAGAGCAAACTTATACACATAATCCCCAAGTATATGCGACAGTCGCCCTTACCATGTGAGACAGAGGTAACCAGCCTAACCACGAGCCTTCTTGATCATCCATTGAAACCGTCAAGGTAAGTATAATTATGAAAACCTAGATGTTTATAGTAGCATCCCACAGTCGAAGCAACCCATTGCGTCCACCACTACAAATCCTTTTCCTTTCAAGATCAGAAGCCACACATCGTACCTGAAGATAAAAGATGATGGCATAAAAAGTTAAAGAGCAAATGATACAGTATTTAATACTGCAGCTGATCTATTCCAAGGTAGCAGGGCATGGCAAGAAAAAAGAATCTAGAAAAGAAAAAACTAAAACAGGAAATTTGAAATAGTGGAGACCTGAAGAAAAGTGTTTTCCGGTGATCAGAAGGACCACCGGAGTTGCTCCACTAATTCAAAAGTAACTTTGGTGTACCTCGAAACTAGTGCCTAGGAGCATTTTAAAAAATTATTATAGCTAGTTCCTTGATTCATTAGATGCTTTTTCTATTAATGTCACTTAAAAAGGTTTAGTACTGGTACAGCCAAAAAAGAAAAAGATAATGGTCAAAAAAACACTTGAACTATCACTTCTTCACACCCCAACTATGATCTATTCTCTTTTTCTACTTGAATTATCACCATCATCTATGTATTAGAACTTATCTAGTTGAGTAGATGGTGATAGTTCAAGTAGGAAACAGGAACAACTCATAGTTGGCCTAGTCAGCTTTGAGTGTATTTTAATACAAAGATGGTGATAGTTTAGGTAGGAAAAGGGAACAACGAATAGTTGGGGTGTGAAACTTGCAAAAAAGTGACAGTTTTCAGATGTGTTTTTTTACCATTATCTCAACAACAAAACCATTATCTCCAAAAAAAATAAAAATACATACCATTGCTGCTGTTTTCTGAGGAGTTCTGTAGAGCTGCCATCCGGCCATCTTTGAACCAGCACTAGAGAAGCCACCTAGCCTCTCTTGAGGACGGTGAAAGAGAGACATTGAATTATCAGCAGCCCCTATTCCTAACCAGTGTTCCCCAGCATCGATGGACAATATTGAAGCAGTATGGATAGTGACATTCTTTATACACCTTATGCCGCCTACACATAAAAAGAACAGCTTTAGTTATTCAATCAACCAGTTCATCGTCCATTCATCTCTATGGAAGAGAAGATAGTTAACTAATGTCAACCTTCGTCTACCAACACACCAAACATCAAATGTCCAACAAAGCTAGAAGCACGCTGTATATAAAAATATTATGTGAATGTGTTGCTTAATACTCCTATATACTCCCTCCATTTCAAAAAGAATGACCTCTTTTCCTTTTTAGTCTGTTTCAAAAAGAATGACCTCTTTCCTTTTTTGGTAACATTTTAATTTCAATTTTCCACGTGGCATGTTTAAAGCCACAAGATTGAAGGGCAGTTTAGTACATTTGACATAACTTTAATTTAGGACCACAAGATTCAAAAGTCTTCTTTATTTTCTAAAACTTTGTGCCAAGTCAAACCAAGTCACTCTTTGTGAAACAGAGGGAGTACTAAATTTTAATAGCACAGTTGACAATCATATTGATAATGGCAGCCAGTAAAAGAGTAAAACCCCATCCATGGTCAGAGATGCAATCTAAGATCAGATTGCTCAAATGGATATGTAAAGTCTTATGTGCTAACCATGACAGTTCACAATCAGTCCAATTCAATGAGAAAACTCGAATTCTCGGCCGGGTAAGGGTACATTAAATATCAAACTTCTGGCATTACAAGGCTACATTAAATTGATAATAGGCTTTTGATATGATGGTGTTACAACAACATACCCAGTGTAATCCCACAAGTGGGGTCTGGGGAGGGTTGTGTGAAAGAAAAACTTCATCATGCTAACAAAATTATTTAAAATACAGGTTCTAAACTTATGATTATGTTTCATGCTTCCCAACTTTAGAATGTCACAAAAAGTTTGAACAATTCCATAAACCAAATTGAATATAGAGAGTTCCAGTTTCTTTAATGATTAAAAAGAGAAAAAGAAAAGATAAGTCGGGTCCAATGTTATCAAAGTGAAAAGCACAAAAAAAACTCTACAGTCCGCTAGGGCTTTAAGCGCACATAACACATGGGCTTTAACGAAAAAAAGGCTCAAATGGAGAAAAGATACAAAAATATATGCTTAGTCCAAGACTAATACTAAAAAGCATGAATAACAAATATAGGACAAAGAAATTGAAAAAAAGAATACGATAAGTGAAATATCCATTGTTTAGCGTCGCCTCGTTAAGAGATGCTTATTGGATAAAAATGTCTTAGAACCTTAATGATAATGACACTGAAGCGCATAGAGTGAGGCAAAGTGCTCAACATGCCTTGCACCTCGCTTCGGGTTAAGCGAGCCTTTGACAAGGTGAGTTGTACTATTATTGATATTACGGGGGGAATCTCACCTTAAATAGAGAGATATCATTAATACTTACAATATATTAGTATCTAAATTCTAATACAACAACAACAAATCTAGTGAAATCCCACAGGTGGGGTCTGAGGAGGGTAGAGTGTACGCAGACCTTAACCCTACCTACCCCATGGAGGTAGAGAGGCTATTTCCAAAAGACCCTCGGCTCAAGTAACGCATACCAAAGCAGTTTAGAAAAAAAAAATACAAAAGTAAAGAAGACCTAGCAAATAATAGGAAAAGCAAACAAAAATCGACGGACAAGAAACTACAAGACTAATGCTGATAAAAGATTAGTATCTAATACAGATAAACGAAAAAACAGCTAAAGTGTAACTCACAAAGGCATCATGAGCTATCTGTCTGAACAATTTGATTTGTCAAACGCCATTAGGGAGTCAAGGATTCGGATGTTTTTAATGAGTATTTAGGAAGAAGGGGAATCAGCTTCACTATGATGATCATAAACTATAATAGATGGATTCACATGCAATTCAATGTTTTCCCTGTTACATTAAACTGCATATTGCTAGCTAATTGTCCATTAAGTCAGGGACAGACTGGGTCACTCAGAGGAATTAAACAACCAATTTTCAGGAAAGACTTATGCTTACCATCATCATTTTCCCAGAACCGCAGAAGACCATCGCTTGAACCTGAGAGCATTTTTATCATGCTTTAGAACGTACTATTCAAGATTTTGATCAACAAAACTGATGAAAACTAATAATACCCTGAGAAACAATAAAAGGAAACTCGGAAATAGAATACTTCTTTATTTACTGGTCATGACCTGTTATTATCCCTTTGTCCGCTGAGGAATACTCCACACATAGAATTGGACCAGCATGGCAAGCTAGCACTGCATCACATTGTCCTCTAGAAACAGACCAGATTCGTGCCGTCCAATCATCACTACCTGTTATCACCGTGTCTCCCACCATTCTAATTGATCTGTTTGAATTACAAGTTTCATTAATTATCATAGAAGCACAGCATAAAAGGAAAAAGATAATAACTCTGAACCTTATCTGACCTTATCCATTTTGTATGTCCCATAAGCTTGTGCATTTGCCTCCCAGCACGAACATCCCAAATGTTTGCAACCCTTCAAATGGAAATATATAGAAGTCAGGCTTGTGCCAATATACTAACGAGTCATTTTGATTTAACGATTAAGAGCCTGTTTGGATTGGCTTTTGGCTTATTTTTAACATTTTAGCTTAAAATCAGGTGCTTAAAAGCATTTTTTAAAATTTACCCAGACACTGCAAAAAAATGCTTAAAAGCTATTTTAGCTTAAAAACACTTGAAATAAGCCAATCCAAACATGCTCTAAGTTATTCAAGGGTTATAAAGCGCTGCATAATATTGTATGGATTTCCATGTGGTGAATAATAATGCAAGGATTGTTATACAGTAAACAATAGTAATGCATAGATTATTATGTAGGAAAAGCCTACTTTAAGGACATCTTTGTTTTTAGATACTCTTATCCAGGTATATCTAATACACATATGCCTATTCCACATTCTATCTCATATAAAAGTAATACTGAGAGTCCAGCATAAGTTATAAAGTATTAGTAATACTCCATTTGATTATCAATTTGAACTCCTGAAACAAAACATTATGTTAGTCATGTGGAGATCACAATAGTAATACAGAGTTCTATACCAGAAACTACTCCGCATAAATAGTGCAGAATTTTATAAGTAGATTAATTTTCCTTTTCCCTCAAAATTAACGACCCCTAATTATAACATTTTAAGTTGTAAAAAGCAGGTTTACATGATATCTCAGATGAACACAATAAACAGCTTGTTTAAAATGCTGGTAGAAGTGACATACGCATCTCTGCCTGCAGCAGCTAAGACTCCTGTCGAGTCATCATACTCCATGCAAAGAACAGCACCAGAGCAACGGCCTACCGTAGCAACACAAGTATCTGTTCTTACATCCCACATCTTTACAGTCCCATCATGGGCAGCAGTAAGGACACGTTCACCTGAAAGCATGCGCACATAGCTGACCTACAAGAACAGAGAATGATTTGGTATAATGATGAGATCACCAGAAGGCTTACATTAATGTACATCTACACATCGTACACAGATAATTAAGGTAACTGGACATCTTAATAAGCTGCTTAAGAAGAAATAAGGTAAGAACTACTGTCATTAGAAAAATGATAAAATCAAGACCCATAGAATTATGCAAGAATTATAGAGATACCAAACAACTTTATTTCTTCTTAAGCAGCTTATTAAGATGATTAAGGTAACTGGACATCTTAATAAACTGCTTAAGAAGAAATAAAGTAAGAACTATTGTCATTAGAAAAATGATAAAATCAAAACCCATAGAATTACGCAAGAATTATATAGATACCAAACAACTTAGGTTCCTGATTAGTCTATATTCCACTTCAACACCATTTCAGTTCATTAGAAACATTGGTACAAAATCGTACAGTTCAGTTTGAGATTTTACTTTTCCTTTATGTTAAATTACACCACATTTGCACTTGTTCACTGCTTTTAAGTCCATAAATGAAAATACTTGCCAAAAGGCAAGCAAAAAAAGAGTAATTCTCTATTTGGATATAGAACAAAAGGATTGAGCACATTCAACATGAAGAGACTGAACGAAACCTGTGCATTGTGGCCCTTCAATTCTTCAAGTTGTTGTGTTGTTTGTTTGTCCCATACAAGAATAGAATGATCATCGGATCCTGATACCACCTTCCCTCGGTCAGAACTAATTGCCCTAACAGTCCTGTAAAGAAGACGGATGAAAAAATTGAAGAAACTAAAAAAAGGAGAAGATCGAGAAACTCTCTTACATTTAACTTCAAGTGGTCGAAAATGAAAGAGATAACCAAAACTTATATGTAAGTTGAAATCAATAAGCTAAACACCAGCAATGAGAAGAAAGTACATATAATCTTACCTTGTGTGCCCATTCAGAGTAGCCCTAAGTTCAGCACCACGAAGGCTAGGATCCCAGATCTTAACCTGCATAATTTTTGCCAGAGCAATAACTAAAATGGCAAAACAAGATCACAAACACTTGAATTTGCTACTGCTGCTCTCTATCTCTACAAGATAATCATGTCATATACAATAGGTAACTCATTTAAGCATTACATGGTTGACTCTTGTTTCTCTTTTATTTTAGTTATCAATGTTTTTATGAGAACATTAAATGCATGTAATTTATAATAGGAGGGTATTACTAATTGGTTTGATAATAGAATATATATTATACACACATACACAAATAAATGTGTGTCTGTGTGCACTGTGCGTGTGATTGGAAGCTATGGCAGAAGGAAAGATGGAAATCACTATTCATCTCATTATGGCTCAATATCGAACTAGTTGGAGTCAGTTCCATGTGCCATCTGTATCTGTTCTGCTCTGTGGGGTCCATATCATTCCAATATTCAATAAAGACAAATTAAGAATTTTCTAAAACTAGAAATATGTTATCTCACAACTAAAATAAAGAAATTATTGGGTCTTACAGCATAAGGCAAATTGGACCATGACAAACATTCAGACTCAATAATTCATATATCTGTACCGTGCAGTCTGTGCTTCCACTAATAAAGAAACCAGCATCCTCTCGGTCACCAACTAAATCCCAAACCTCTCTTTTCGTCACACAATGTAGAGCGGTAACTGCACCACTATGACCCCTTAATGTACGGATGCTGGTTTGCATTTTCTTTTGTCCAGCTGCTGATAGATCTTGTTTTCGAGGAGTCCCATTCTCGCTTGAAGCTGAAGTTAGTAGAATAGCAAATCTCAGCATGCAACACAGGGAAGAAACATAATGTGCAAAATAGAAGGAATACTACATGCCTAGAGTGCCACTATCAGAAGACCAATTGCCGACACGACCAAAAGACTTGGCTCTTATTGACGTATCCCTGCTGAACATGCTCTGGACCCAGCTTCTTCCGATACCAGATGCCTCAGCAGGTTGCTGAGCATCATCAGATGCATCCTGTGCTCGCGGGGAAGGTAATCCCAAGGTAGATGCAGACTGTAACTTAACTGAGTGGATTCCCCAATAACCAACAAACATATGCCGGACATGGGATAAATATCCACGGAGTTTTATCTGACAATAAATTAGAAAATTAACAGATTAAGAAAGAAAGTTTAGCAACACTGAAGTCCATTATTCAATCTTTTAAGACCCTTTCTTTTTCTTTTCCTCGAAAACTCGTTCTAAACATGGTGTCAAGTGCTTTGAACAGAAAACATGCTTAAAGCATGCAAATACTACCAATTTTTACTAATATGGAGTACAAGGCTGAAGAAACGGACAATTGAATAACAATATAGTCCAGAAGCACAGCAGGTAGAGTGCCAAAAATTAAGCAGAGCAGCAGCTAAAACATTCTTCAATGATTCTCATAACGCACGAAAAAATAACATAACAATCTGTGTGACAACAAGTGATTATTAGTAAGTTTTAACTATGACAAATAAGCCATAAGGTTAAAATCAAATGAAACGACCAAAAAATATGTCAGCCCAGTCACAGAATTCCTGCATTACGGATCCAGGACAAAAAGGAGCTAACTAGCCTGTCTAATGTTGGTTTTTATTTTTTTTGGGAACTAGTAATGTTGTATTCCTCAGAAGTTAAGACTGTTGGCAACCTAATGTTGGTTGGTAATTATGAAGGATGTTATATGTTGAATATATGAATGGTTTTAGGAAGAGATATGCCACAAAATAAGCATGCGGCGTCACCAAGGCGGATTGGTCACTGCTGGAAATGGAGGCATGCAATATATTATCAGTTCTCCTTCCACAGCTCAATGAGGGACTCAATATAGTAAAGAGTGTTCAGAAAATCACTAAAGAGTTTCTAGATATATTAACGGCTTGATGTTTTTATATAATTTGATAACAGCAAATCATTTTCTTTTTTATAAGGTAAATATACTTCATTAAAATTAGGGCCAAAATTGCACATGTATACAAGAAGTATACCAAAAAGGCAAAAAACCTACATATATACATGGTTCTCTACGAAAGACACGATAATAGGTGTAAATTATGTAACATCAAATCATTTTTTTAAAATTAGTAATAACAGCAAATCATATTGAGTTGGATTTCCACAACTATAGCAAGAAACAGATAGAAATGCCATAGGCAACATTCCATTTTTACAAGTAATAATAGGCCAACACCTCCACGTCAAAAAGGAGAGAGGCGGATTAGGGGCATGAGAAAAAGTCTAATATAACTCACAATATGCTTGTACCCAATGTTGTTTTTCCCAGCTATTGTTTCAATCATGTACCATGCATCAGTGTCATGAAGTCCAAGGCCAGCCTTCAAGAAAATAAGGGAAGAGAATCAATATTCAGAAGAGAATATCATCCCAAAAGCAATTGGGTGGAACAACTTTCTGCTTTACAATGAGGATAAGATGTACCATGTGGGTGGCCAGAACAATGAGCTGGGTTGTCACCAACGTAGCATAATTGGTTGACCTGACAGAAAGAGAACATAGATTTGAATATCATGCATACTTTCTCCTTCATTTTTTCCTTTTTGGGTCAAATCTAAGTACAATTGAAAATGGCAGCACAAACTACGCCTAGAAACTTGTTAAGGAAGGTGATGCCAAGATCATGGGACTGCACTGTTTCTGGGGGAATAGTTCATAAGCAAGGGTTAATCTCTTAAAGTATTATATCACTCAAACATAGAGTTGAAGATGTCTCTAAGCTTAGTAGCTTCTTAACAATATTGTTGGATACATGAAAAGCAATGATAGATAACTTGACAAACTACAATGAGAATGTAGACCAGCAAAAAGGCAAACATAGCAGATATCTAAGCTTTTAATGGTTTTAATGCATATGCAATGCATGTTTCAACAAGAACCACAAATATTTCAAATGCATTTCTCCACCGACACGCAGGGAGAATTTATACCCAAGGTTCCTTTCCAACTTAAAGGGGTTAAAGACGAGGAGATTCAATTTCTCCTTTCTTGTTCCTATGAATTATGAAAGGGCTTACAGAATGCTCAACTTTGTTGTAACTGAGGGTTGGATCAAGAGTTCCACAATTAACTGTGGGCAAGAAAATAGTTTGGCAATTTCACACCTTCTATGTGTGGATGACACTTTTTCTGTGAACTTGAGGAAAGACAAAAAAGATATACGAGACTAATCCTTGGTGTTTTTTAAGTTGTATCAGGACTTCATGAAAATTGGGCCAAGAGTAAACTTAGGGCACATTTGGACAAAAAAAATTGTTAAGAATCTGTTTGGTTACACATTGTGTCAATTTTTCATTCCAAATACTTTTTAACATTTTTTCAAGTAAAATACATGTCGAAACACAGCTTCAACTTCCGAATAGCCATTTCAACTTAACTTCAAATACTACTTTTTTTCAAATATCATTCAATTCATGTCCAAACTATGTTGCTTGAACTCTTCAAAATGTTGATGGGTGTGCGCTGGATCCTTCGAAAGTAGTTCATTTTTGGAGAACCCAAGTATCCAACACGGGTGCAACATCATTTTTGGAGAGTCCGAGCAACATAGCATTAACCACCTCTAACTCCAGTCAACTATGTCTATGATCTACGGGAGCTAGCTACTATCCCAGGGCATCAAAAAAATTTACCAACAATATATGTGGGCTTAACCTTGAAGACAAAGCATAATTCAGAAGTTATTTGGGAGGGAGTAATAGAGAGATGTGAAAAGACTCCAACTGGAAGCTGCAAATTGTATCTTAAGAGTCCTGCTTGATTCTTACAAAGATTGATCTTTTTTTGAATTCAATGACAACTTAAACTATGTCCTTATTCACTATGCCTTGCAAGGTGGAAAGGAAAAGGATCAACATTTATTTTCCAAAACTTTTTGAATTCCGTTTTGCTTGCTATTACTGATTTTGGATGAGTGTTGCTAATATTAAAATGGTGTTGCTTCTTATGGTGAACTCTCTTTAAAAGTGAGCAATGTTCATGTTTCTGAAGCATAAATAAACTGTCAGTATTAAACAGCATGGTGCACTTTCAATTGCATCTTGCTACCTGTCTCCTGCTACATTCTCTTGTGGATATGTGCTACCAAGTCCTTTTTGATAACCATACTGCAAATTATACAATTGGTCTCTTGCAAGTTACTATATAGTACTTTAACAGAAGTAATGTAATTGGCAAGTCTTATTTTTGGATCTTGTTTGAAGATGTTCAAGTTGTTTTCATCGGCATGATGATCTTATTTGGTCATCTTAGTCTATTGTCAATGATTGAAAAAAAAAAGTATATTGCCTAGGTGACAACTGATTCTATTTGGAGAGATATAAACTAATGCATGATATGGAGAACGAATGTGAATCGACCCACCCAGTTACTGTAGGCCTGCACAAATCAGAGTATTTTTTAGTGCTGGTTTTGACATCATTAATACTCAACATTGCAATTAAGAGGACAATGCTAGTATATGTAAAATAATCAATTCTCCCTTGCCTTAATATATCTCAGACAACTTCTTTTTATAAAATAATGTCTGTCAGACAACTTCTTCCTATATTGTATTGTCACGCCGACAAATTTTTCATACAAACCTCTTACCTTGGAATCTGTTGGAATTCCTTTCATGTAGGAGATGCGGTATTTTAAAATATCTACAACATATATGCTGCAATTCAGTTAATGACACTAAGTATTTCATAATCCACATGTCGCATCCTAGCTTCAATAATTCATTTAGAGAAATTATTAACAATCCAAATAACGGCCATTGAAAAGGAAAACAAGGCAAGACTTGTTAAATGCTAATATGCCAAAATGAAGCATACAGATAACGATGGGTGTAATATAAACTTGTATGGAGCATAGATAAATAAATCGCTTACTTGCTAGAATAACGGTCCAGTAGACAATCAAAGTATCCTTCCCAGAAACTGCAAAATGAACGTGGAGATGTCAGTCAGAAACCTCATACAGACTCCTCAAACTTTGAAAGACTATCAAAGAAAAAGACAAAAAGACAAAAAGTTTGAAAAACTTATGAACCTCAGTCTTAGTTCCCTATATATTACCAACACACAATTCACAAAGACACCCTTGTAATTGAGGCATAGTGATTACAAGGTAAAAGGACAAAGTTCACCCTTTAAAGTTTAACCATTGTGATAAGCTAATTGTTCAAAGTTCCAGTAGTTAGTTCGGAGAAACTTGTGGAAGCTCTTTTATAATCTAATCAATAAAAGCTAGTTAGGATTGAAATAAAATTTATGCAGAAAATCAATTTCAAAAAAAAAATTAGGGTAAATTACATAAATCACATACTTTTAAAGCAAAATTACAATATATCCCTTAAAAGTTTATAATTACTGACATCTCTCAAACGGATACAATAATATAAGCGCTGATACATTAATCTGATGCGCGAGATACAATAATATAAGCGATGATACATGCGCGAGATACAGTAATATTAGCGCTGATACATTAATCTGATGCGCGAGATATAATAATATAAGCGTTGATACACTAATCTGATGCGCGAAAATGAGGGATTTTGGAGATTTGTAAAACTTATAGGGGATAATGGTAATAAGTAAACTAAAAGATGGGATTTCTGTAATCTTTCCAAAAAATTATGCTGAATATTCTAAAATATATGAAGGAGATAGCACCTGGATATTCGAAGACCATAGAGGTAAAAATTCCAGAAAGAATACTTTGATTGGTCACATTTTTTTATAACCAAGAAATACCAAGGGCCAATGGTGTAAAGTTTGAAACTGGATAGATAGTGGTCCTGCCCTCTACCCTTATCCACTATAATACTAGGCTTTTGTTTACAACAAGGTTCGAAACCCACACATCACATGCCATACTCTTACCACTAGATCAAAGCCTTGGGGACTTTGATTGGTCATATATGGACATATATGATCTTATTGTTACCTTAATTGTACTGTGTAATTTAACATGACACCAGAAAAGGAGACATCAACTAGTAACATATTTTATGAGACATCAACTTATGATGTATTATTTAGTTGACAGAAACACACCGTAGCTCCTCCCAGATAGAAAGAGAACGAAGATGTCGTTGAACATAGTCTGAGACATTGTTTATATCCTTCTTGTACATTTCTGCAGAGACTTCCAGGGCATCTCTGACAGTTGCCATGTCATTCCTAGACATAGCAAGATTAATTGTTGTTTTCAGCTGCAGTTGCATGAAAAAGTATATGTTAGACAAGTTGGTCCATGAATGCTCCTGTTGAGCTCTTGGCTAACTAGCTGAAAGAGGGAATACTCAGGATAGATTGTGATATTTCTAGTGACAGGTAAGGGAGTAAAACAACAACATAATACCTAGTGTAGTCCCACAAAGTGGGGACTGGGGATAGTAGAGAGTACGCAGACGTTACACCTACCTTAGAGGTAGAGAGGTTGTTCCTGATAAACCCTTGGCACAAGAAAAAAACAGTCCAAAGCCGTCCAAAAGAAGTAACAGAAGTGAAAGCATACTGAGCAGTAAATGTATCACTTAAAAGTAGAAGTGCTAGGTAAGGAGTCTTGCATGAAATTGTAAATCAAATAAAAATGTCATCTCAGAGGGGAAAACTGAAGAAAATTCTCAACAGTATCACTTAAAAGTAGGAAGTAGAATTTGCAAAATAAGTCACATTGCATATATGATTATTTAGTTATCAAAGTATTAAGATGTTTTTCTCCCTTTCATAACTTTTCTCCCAAAAGGAGGAGTGTTCTTCAATAATGTAGAAGGAAAAGGAAAAAAAAAAGTAAGAAAAGCTCTTTTTCTTTCTTCTTCCCTTTTTTTAGGGTGAGAAGTCTCAGATACTTCAATCAAATTAAAAAATAGAGAGTTGAAGTGTCACTTTACCAGTTCTTTGACTGCAATAAACTGCTCCTCTGACAATTGACAGTTCAAACCCTATGAATATGTGGAGCAAAGGGCGGAAGTCAGTGCACAAAACATGTCAAATGATTAGATAACAGTGCTGATTTGAAGCTACGTACTGAATGAATGTGCTCTCTTATACATTCAACGAAACCACTACCACCAATTCCTTCAGCATCTGACTCAATAAGTGCTGATAAAAAATAAGCCTACCAATTAGCCTGTTCTTCATTTGCTAGGACAGTAGATTATACCAGCATTAACCATAAAAAAGCCAGTAATTCTGGGATATTATGAAAAATACCGAGGATGGTTCCATATTCAAAGGAGGAAAGAGGATCATCAGTTTGTCCCAAATTCACAAGGCGTACCCACAATCCCTGTTTTAAGGAAAAGCAAATGCAGATATGGAATTAAAGATCTATATGAGAAGTTTTTTTTTCTTTCATCAATAAAGTAAGAGGCATCCACGAGGCCACAGAAGTGCAGGTACATGTACAGAGCAGACAAAAGAAACCTAGTCGGAATCAAAAAATCCTTGGCAAGAAAGCTAAATATGATAGTCAACTATAATACTTTACAAGAGCTCTTTTAAAAGCTCATAATTTCCCATGTAAAGTTGGTGGAAAATTTTGTTACACTACAAAGAAAGTCAACTAGAACCAACAACAATGACGCCTCAGTCCCAACAAGTTGGAGTCGGCTATATGGATCCTCACTCACCAAGTTTCTCCATTTAAGCTCGCAAGTCAGTTAGAGCCTTGGAAGCCGGAAAATTAAGAGATAAATGGAGTAGATGTACACTATCCATCTACTGAGAACTAAATGGATTTTAAGTTGCATTGTCAAACTCGAAAATTGACCCGTAAGAAACGAAGAACTTTAACTTCTCGTTAACTTTTTGGCATTTGAAAAAGAGAGAACACCTACGTACTTATGTATTGTAAACTCAGTATTTCTGAGAAGCATCAAAATACTAAGCAGAATTCTCTTACAGGAATACTAATTGCTAGTGCTTTTGTTGTTCCTGAAGAAACTGAAGATCTTACAAATGCTAAGAAATTCAGACAGCATCATTTATTAGGAAAATGCTATGTAAGCTATAAGAATAAAAACACTACTATTTGCAACTCTTATTAAAACATTCCAGACATAATGTAATATGATCAAAGTTATGTGATGAGTGATGACCATGAGTATTTGGTCTCTCTATAAACATGTATAGACTTCACCGACCTGGTCAAATAATAGGTATAGCATTACCTATCTTAGGTTGTTGTACCGTGGCTAATAACTGCATATTTTTACTAGTCAAAGTTTTTCAAAGAACTGAATCTGATAAAAGATCATGCAATTTAAAGCCAACCCAGGAATGTATATACAATAGTCAATAAGTGTATTATTTTCAGATGTAATTTACATACTATCTGGAAGCAAATGAATTGTATTACATGCAACACATCCCCAGTCTTAATGTGAAGAGGGAGCTCAAATGTAAGTGGTTAATAAGACAGCTTTAATTTCTATTTCTTTCTCGAATGACCAAGAAAGCAGTTGATTCAACTTCGAAACTTGGGGGTAATGAGCCCACCCCTCTATCCTTATTCACTTAAATACCAGAGTCAATAGACTTGGTGCAAGAACCAAGTTTTGATCTTGTGTGATGTATAACTGACACTTTTTACTTTTCGGGAACCAAAGACCTGGTGGCAGGACAGCTTTAGTTTCTGTTTTTTTAAATAACCTTTTTGATAAGATTATATTATTTGTACTTTTTCTGAAAAAAAGAACAATCTTTTTCCTTCTTGTTAAACCAAGTACACCTCCTATTTAAGTATTATATACAAACTTTAACCACTGGTGGTGGAGAAGTGGACTAACATGAATTCAAGAAGAATCTGTATATTCAAGATAATAGAAACTCAAATATGATCAAATAACTAAAGTGAAGTTTCTGATATAATTGTTTGCTGATTCGCTATTTTTCTGGTTAATATCAGCAACATATACATACTGCAATAATAGGAAGAGGTCCAAACTAATAGTTCAGGTGGCTTTCAGTCCTCCAGTTCTATTAATATTAACTTATTATAACAAAAACTACTCACCATCTAATGAAAGGCAACTGATTGTCTATCCAAGAAGATAGAGATGCACAGGCAGGAAAAGGGGCGTGAACTGTTTTCCTTCATATGTAACAAAGTGAAAAGCAAAGAGCAAGACAGCACTAAAACCAGCCTTTCCTACTCTTCTAGATTTGAAAGATAGAACAGAATAGATCATATAAGTGCAAAACAAGGATCAAGGGTGCATTATAAGCCATCTATTTTTTGCTCTTCCGGATACGAGAGCAATAGCATAACAGATATCATTTTCATTAAATCCTAGCAAACAACATTAAAAAATGCATAATCACTTGGCATGGAAAGTAAATACACGCGCCACTCCCCTTTACCCTTTCACTTTGGCTCCATGATACAAATTTATTGTAAAAATAGAACAAGGAAATTAAGGATAATAGAATAGTAGTCAATAGCTTCCACTTTTATGATCTTCCGCTCCATATGGAACAGGTCAAGATGGGTGTAATATTGAAGGAAAGCAAGGAAAATTATAAGGAATGATAAACTCAATGTAACGAGGAATAGTATTACTAATTTCTAAACTACCCTTAACTGGTAGTGCTTCTGCAATTTTCATTTTAAAGAATCTGATGGATATACTGTACAACTTAAGAGAAAGAATATATAGAAGGAAGCATCTGATATAAAAAGACTTGGAAGTTTAAGGGTAACAAATACTTCACCTGAAGCTTAACTTTTATGTCCAAAACCATACGTTCCCTCTCTGCCTGCAAGGAAGAAAAAAACCCAACTGGGTTGAGAGAGACAAAATAGTGAATCACATACATCACAAGCAAAATATAGAGAACGTACAGCTCGCTCTCTGGGGCTTAGGCTTTCGGCCTTTGAATCATTTCCAGCAAGTACTGAAAGTGAACTGATGAAATGGAGGAAAAATTTAATTTTCATTTTAGAGAAGCAAAATGATGTTAACATCCAGAGAAATTCCGCATAATAACATAGGACATACCTAGTAGTATGCCTCCCAGAATATTCAAGTGCTCCACTTGCTGTTGCTAGAATCTGCTTCCTCTTTTCCTCCTGCTCTTCCGTTCTGATATTTGCAGGAAACCTGTCATAACAGTATTTGGCACCTGATCCTAATTTTTATTTTGGAGCAAAGGGGGGATTTACATCAGTGTTGTATCCATCCCAACAATCGTATGTTCATCAAACATGACTTAGCCACATCACAATAATAAGAAAAGATACCTGAAATCCCCACACCCGGATCAGATATAGTTATGATCTCTGGCTCTGCCATAAGTGAAGGAAGAACTGAAAGAGGATTTTGACCCCTGCCAATTGCATCTTGTAACTTATCTAGGAGATTATTATTGTTTTCTTCAGAACCAAGACCTCTCTCCAAATAATCCAAGAAACCCTGGGAATCTAAAAACTGGCTTATCTGTTGGCATAATACAAAGAAAATAAATACACGAGTGGTGACACCAGAAGCAATAACCATACAGAAAGCACATGGAAGTATAGGTGTATTATGTGTACCTATGTAATATACATATATATTAGAAATAAAGCAGGTGGATGAGGTGAAATTTTTTTCATTATAGGTCGAGCTTTAACAAACCTCGTCACATTCATCCTTTACTAACATCACACCAATAGGCTTACAAACCAAAAGAAGTTGAACATGAATGTTGGAATCTCCTTACTTCTCAGTCCTAAGCTATGTCTTCCCTATCTTATCAAGATATTAGCCTTCAGGCTTCAATGCCGTGATGAAATTCTAATGCAAAATCAATCTTATTTGTTTGTCCATCACTAAAATAAACTGAATCCCATCAAATATTCAACAAAAACATACCCTGTATAGTCCAAGCAGATATTATATATGTAACATATAGGATCAACAAATGTATATTATCATCAAATAATCCATCCTAAATTCCTGCAGGCCCTTTTTGACATGTTGAACCTGTATATCTTATAAAGGACCAAATATTTATACTACAAGCAAGTTAAATCAGTTTGTATGTCTACAAACACAAGATGGGTACTTCGACATCACCATTGAATCTGGTGGCTGGTTTGTTGACCGAGAGCGCTTCTTCAGGAAAGCCTGAGAGTTGAAGACCTGTGTTGCGGTATTTTCCTGATATAAAGTGATGAAAAATCTTATTTTCAGTTGTACTTTCACCTGATATATCAATTAGTTAGAAGTATAAGCTTCTTACTATGAAATTACGGTAGCCACCAAGTATTGATGCAAAGAACTTTAAGAATGTAAATCTGCAAAAGAAACAAAAACCAGTAATATGTCATTTTATTTGAAACCTTAACTTACAACTTCAAGTATCCTCCTTGAGAGACAAACAAAAGCAACCACAGATATTGTAAAATGACACACAAGAATCACCTAATTTGAATGTCGTGTTCTTCTCCCCATGGTCTGTTGCCACCTCGTTGGAACTGATCGGAGACATTTGCTCGAGTAGACTTCATTTGGTCTATTCCAACAACATTTGGATACAACAACTTCATAATGTCACCACGCAGGGTACTATATTCTGGCTCTGGTATGGGAGGAATGTCCTCTGTTGTAGTGATGCGATTATGCTCAAGGTCCACAATAACTACCTAAAACATCAAAGAAAGAACAAATCAAAAAGTGGGATAAATAGTAAATTAAGTCAGAGCACACTAAAGCTAAGCTCCAAGATTCAGCATGATACTGAAGAGGACTCTAATTCACCACTTTTTGGTAAGTACACAACTTTTTTTGATGACCCGGAAACCTTTATAGGGCCACAACCGCAGCTTTCAAAATTGAGGTTAATGAGCCCTTCCCTCTACCCTTCACCACTTAAATACCAGGCTTAGTTTGCATGACGCAAGGCTCAAACCTGTGATCTAAGTCATAAGTCCCTCAACCTTTGCCAGTTCAACCTTAAATACCAGGCATAGCAAGCTTTTTCTATTGAAATATATATGAGCTTCTCCATCAATTTCTCCTTCTCACTCCTTGTCTTTATGCCTTAGAGAACAACAGAATCAGGCAGTTTAGTAAGCGAACTGGAGGTTTTGACCATTATTGTGTGAAGTGGTGGTTCTGGTAAATGGAAGTATCCTATGAATGAAGAACCTAATCAAAAGACAAGTGAATTTAAGAGTTTGTTAAAAGAATGTCATTTAGAATTTACCAAGCAGTGATTCCTACCTAATACCTATAAAGCTTGGATCTGCTTCAACGCTGGCTCATACTGGTTCAAGCTTGGCATATCTGAGACCATGCAAAACTTTACTAACGTCACTCCAGCCTGGGAACTAGCTGGATTCACACTACACCACTAAGCTACCAACAATTTCCCTGATAATGTCTCTCATATTCATATGCAATAAATTCATATCAAACTACCATTTCTATCCAAGCTGTCGACGATTGGCAGAAGCAAAATTAAATCAGGATTTGGCCGGAAAACTAAGCAAGGCTATGTATAGTATGACCGATCACCGTCGATAAAGAAGAATTCTTTGGAGATTTCTATGACATCTTTAAAATCTCACAAGATACTTTCTCTTTTGCTTAAAAATAAAAAGGAAACAGGGAAGAACAGTGCCATCTTTATATGAAACTAAGTAGAGGTAGCACTTTCTTGGTGCTGGTCTGCCAATAAAATTACTTTACTATCAAAAAGAGGTAGCCCATGAAGCTCCATAATTAATCAACACTGAAGACGACTGTTTAATCTCAAAATGATAACTCAAGTTGTTTCAGTATTAAATGAAAAGGATAAAGAGAGTTAAGTGTCTATATTAGATTATAAGCATTAAGTGAACTTACACCATCCATCGTAAGCCCATAAGTATCCACGCCAGAGTGAAGGCCCATCATGTATGGCGTAGGAGCATCAATATAGTCTACTCCACTGAAAAACAGCAATGGAATGTAGACATGCTTCAGCACAACAAACGTCAGAAAATCAGATGACTGTCCGTGGAAACCTCAAAACATGATAAAGTCCCCATAGGATAGGGCATTACCTAAATATACATACAAACGTGCAGACATACATACATACATAAATATACATTCATAAATTCATATATACATGCATATAATATAATTTGAGAAAATGCACAGGATAGAAATTGGAATAGCAAGCCATAAATCCCAAAAATATTTCATAAATCAGTAAAACACACCTGCCACCGAAATGGATATATTAAATGGCATATGGCTTCTGATACAAGTGTTAACAGAGAATACCTACAAAATCAGTTAAGTTGAAATTAGGAAACATGAATCCCACAACAGCATAGAATCAGCTACACAAGGACAGTACATTGGAGCTCTTCGTAAATATCGTTTCGGTACAACCTATGTACTGATTACTTCATTATAAAATATATACAGTTACCACTTTTTTTCTCTGCTTAGGGGTTTTTCAGTTCTGTCTTCTGAGTCTTGCAAATACTAGTAAGCAATTAACCTTGTGCACGCATCATTTAAAATGTAAGGTATGCACAAGAAACAGGAGATGATACTAACAGCGATACATATAAATCGAAGAAATTAAACAAATTTACTTATGGTTCCCCAGGAGTGAGAGAAATAGGAATACATGTTCGATCGAAGCAAAATCCTTCTCTCGAGTAGAACAGCTGTAAATAATTGGATTACATTGTCCACATCCAAACACTGAAGCAAAGGCTGAAATGATATCTGTCATCAAGTAAAATATAGTCAATCCTGAAGCAGCCATCCAGTGAGACACCCTAACCGAAAAAACTCTCAAGAAGACAAATGCTAGTAAGCTTACATCAGCATGAGGAAGGCCCTCCTTTGGTGGAACTTCAACAGAGAGAAGGCTGTTCTCAATAGCAAATAGCACCCTATCTTTTCCAGGTGTTGGCAAAGGTACATTGGAGACTGAATATGCTATAACATCCCACAGTGGCTTGCTGAAATTTTTGCAGAGCTGACAACATTAATGCGAAAGATGATAAATATAGAAAAAGGAACAACAAAAATAAATTTTCGTTGCAATCCATATATTTTCTGTAGTAAAGTAAGAATCAGAAATTATATAATTATTCTTCTATAACATTTTTTGTGCACATGCAGGAAAAAAGAAAAATATAACCCTTGCTTCACAACTGGGTAGGGAAAAATACAAGCCAGTAAAGTAGGAGAAGAAGGGGAGGAAAACAGGTGGACCCTAGAAAAGAATGTTTCACACTCTCTCCACTTAACTTCCTCTTTCTGGTGTGAAACCAAAGAAGGTAGAGAGCCTTCTCAAATCCACTTCTCCCTTTCCATCCCCTTGTTGACAGCAACAATAACAACATAATCCCACAAGTGAGGTTCTGGAGGGGATAGGATGTATGCAGACATTACCTCCTGCCTTTGTGGGGTAAAGAGGTTGTTTCTGATATACTCTTTTGAGCAATGCAGGATTGTCAGGAAAAAAAAACAATAAAATAGCAATATTTTTTCCATTTATGAGAAACAGGTTGCAGACCCTCTGGGAGATCTAAATACAAAGTATAAACTTTTATCATTAATAATTGATGTGCAATATATGTGTCAACAGTTCGTGGTTGTATCATAAACAGTGAAGCTTTCTAAATTCATACCTGCTTCCAGAGGAGGAAAAACAAAGCACAAAAATTTCCTCCAGGGCATCTCGAAGGATTTGAAAACTGGGAGAGCGTGAGACAATACAGATGCACTTGTCAGCATATGAATTTACAGGAATGCGGTAAGCTTCAGCAATATCCTCACAAACAGGATCCCGAAATGCGATGCAACTGACATAGATCTTTGACCCATCACCCTCTGTAGTCATTAACACTAGTCACGACCCAATAAAAGAAAGAAAGCGGAAACACTAAACCGACAACACCAGAAGGCACAGAGAAGAGATTAATTTTTCTTCTGATAAAATGACCAGCAATAGAGCTACAACCTGTACAGAGGAAAGTTCAAACGTCCAGACAACACTAACCCAGCCTAACATAAGTATGTTGAAGGGATTGTACACAATCAATGGCATTCCAGAAAGCAAGGGAAGATATTATGTGAAAGCTACTAGCATACCAGTCAAAACAATAGGATAACTCCTGGGGAGAGTTGATGGATCATTTGAATCAAAACCTGACCCGTAGAATTCCACACCAGCTGGTAGAACACACTGCATTTCAGAACCGCAAAAAATGATTTGTAGTGCAAAAAACAAATAATCATTCAATAAACAAATTGTAAGAAACTTTGAGATTGTAATTGATACAGCTATCTTGGTATAGGTTGAACACATTCTTACTTTACATAGTCAAAAAAAAAAAGTTGCATATGTACCTTTCACATGACTTTTCAAAATTTCCAAGACAGTGCAAGAGGGAAAAGAGTACTTACAGTAGGAAGCTGAGGAGGAGGGGGAGGGTAGAGAGTATGATTGGAAGGAGGGTACTGATCAAGAAGGGCTGGCATATACATGACCCCTGCGCCATGGTACCCTCTGTTCCCATCCAAGGTCCGTATCTCTGTCCCGATACCACATACTACGAAGTACTCGAAGATCCTAGCCATTAACAGATCCCAACTTCAGATTATTCGTTAACTCCGATCTGATACATTACATTCATATGAATTGAAGTTGAACAAGAAAATTCTTGCTGTTCTTGGCCCTGACCCTGGTCCCCCGAGAGCGAATTCAACTCGAATCTTGGGTCAAGACTCCAGACTAGCAACTAACAGCCTTCCGAGCCAGAGCCAGCCCTATATAGATTTTCCGAATTTCTAATGTAAGTATTTTTGCGAACGAAAAGAAAATACGCATTTTTGGCTTTCCAATATTGATTAACTTCACACTTGTGATGTGGTACTCCTCCGACTCTTTTATTTGTACACTATATTAAAAATATCTATTTATTTTTTACTTTTTTAATTTGAAAAAATAAAAAATAATTATTACTTAATTTTTTATTATCCTCAGAATGTGCTCGATGAGGAGAAAAATGTTTTCTAATTTCTTTATATTCGTTTGGTTTAAATATTTTTTTAATGAACTTATTTTTCGTTAAATTAAGAAAAATTATATCCCTAATAAAAAATTTAAATATATATATTTCTTAAATTCTTGTTCAACTTCACCACCTAAATCACTCAAATGCACTTGACCCCTAGTCTTGAACCACACAATTGAGACCCACCACAAGTCTTGAACCATCCCAACCCTAACCCAAGATCTTACGTCCGATTCGAGACCCTCCATGAACCGACACTATGACCCACCCCCGACACGGGACCTAACCCCGAAATGACACAAGACTAAATCTCTAACCCGAGACTTGACCAACTTATGTGTTACTACTGTCAAGGTCAACTCTTAAAGTTTGGGGTTAGATCTTGAGATTGAGACCAGACTTAGGGCTAGGGGTGGATCTCGAGGGTTTGGGTCGAGTCTCAAGATTGGGGTAGGATCCGATTTGGGGTTTGTTTTGAATTTGATCTTAGGGTTGGGGTCGGTATATTAGGGCAAGAATCCGATCTCACATTGAGTTGATACATGAATCCAAGGTCATAGTATTAGCCTATATTATACCTAAATTCCCTTGGGGGATTTCTATTTACAACTCGAACACCAAAAAAATAAGTAAGAAAATCACTTAGTTTTCAAAAATAAATAAATATAGGAAAACATTTATCTTTAATATGGCAAGATATGAATACCATGATCTTCAAATGAAACAAAGATATCTCAATGTACTCTTACGAGCAATCATTCAAACTATCCACGGTAGAGCTACTGATTTCCCCTGTTTTTTTATGCTCTTTAATTCCCACTTTGGTAATAAAATCAAATTAGTTACCGAAAAAAAAATTGTAGTCATTTCTCAAAGCATGGAGTTTGTTATATACAAAGGGGATATAGTATTATAATTTTATTTATGGCTGTTTAGGAAGTGTTCCAAGTTAATTTCTGACAAGTAAAAATTGATCGAGAAAATTCTACGCTTTTTTATTCATTTTTTTCTTTGTAATTTCACGTGAAACTTGTATAATTTATATATTTTTTAAATTGTTGTGTTTTGAATTATATGTAAGATAAATAATTACATAGCATTCGAAAAAATCAAATATAAAAAGCTAATCTAACTTATTTTATCAAGGTCATTGCATCAACATTCATAAAGCAGCTACACATATTTAGGGGTGGGTATTTGGTATTCCGTTCGAGATTGTCAAATTTTGGATTCGGTAATTGATAGTTAAAAGTAGATAGTAAATATCAAAAATTTAAATTTTGGTTCGTTATTGTAAATTAAATTTCAGTTTTGTTATTGTATTCGGTAATATCATAATGAAATTGTTGTTGATGATATTACAAAGTTAATACTATTTCTCCAATCATTTCTATTTTGTTATGTGGAGACACGATATAATAAAATATCAATAAGTAAGAAGACATCAAGAAAAAACAAATTGATACAACTAAAAAACATGTACTTAGGTTGTTTATGTTTATTCATTAACTTTCTCTTTGAAATGAGTAATATACATGTTGATATATGACCTTCATTAAGTAAAGAATTCGGTATTCGAAAAATACCAAATGGTACTAATGTCTCATACTATACCCAAATTCAAATATCATAATTCTAAAATTTTACTCCTAAATACCAAATAACAAAAAAATCGATTCGATTCGATAATTTGATTTTTGATATTTCATGCCCAGCCCTACCCGTGTTGTATGTTACCCTTGGTATTGTATTGTATTTGAAGTCCAGTAATAGTCGTTTGATCTACAAGTTCAATAGCAGTGGCATCGAGTTCTACACACACATGATGCAGTTACACATTAAAGGTAGTCAACAAGTCAGGAGCCACCAAAACAGAGGCAACTAAAAATCTTATTTTGACCCATCTCATGACTTGATTGATTGCCTGTAGAGCTTTCTTGGCAAAATACACAATTTCTGGATCCTTAATCATCTTTTAATTTATTCAAACACGGCTGAATTGATTTATCCACATCGTTTTTCACATATTTATATTTTTAAAATGATAGAACTAAGCTGACACTTACCGATTGATCAACTACAGAAGCAAGAGACTTCAACCCCTTTGCGACATGGAATCTAACATTCGGCACGCTGGAATATGAACTTGACCTTAAAAATAAATATTGAATAGCATTGAAGCATGAAGAACTTGATCGTTAACCTGTCTTACGATGGAACAGTATAATAGGCAAAATTCGGGAACAAGTAATCTCTGAATCCATTACAGGGGCAAGATTTAGAAGTGCATCAGGAATGCTCTTCCAATAAAGAGAATATTTGTCATTAACTACGTTTAAGACATGTAAAAATATTGTTCTCGTCAAAATCTATGACCGCATAGAAGAAAAGAAAAAAAGAAACAATGATGATGCTATACAATTATTGAACTGTATTAGATAATCTATGCAAAATTGTTCACTTCTGAATATGAAGACACGAGATGTTTCAAATATTATGGACACGCAACAAATGCATAGACAAATAAAATTCCTCTTCTGTACTTATTACAAACTAACAACAAATGCAATGTTCATCATCAACTATATAAAACCCGCGCAATCATATGCAAACATAATTCAGTAATTTGAAGTAGCATTCATATTCTCCAGGCAATTAAGGATGACTAACTCTTAAAGAGAAAACTGTCAAATCATGCAATTAGAAGTTTTTAATAGATTTACATACAAATTGAATGAGTTACTATAACAAGCTAAAACACATGAGGAATGACCGGGAACAAGAAGAAGAACGATTGCAGACAAACTAAATGAAATGACAGAGAGAATCGACGTCTGTGAAAAGTTTGGACTGTAGAATACCGACTGAAATAGTGGAAGTTAGATGGGGGTGACTGAAAATATTGGAAGTTAGAGTGTTAGACCGATAATTTTCTACTTGTATAGTTTGGAAATCAACAACTTTATGTTCTGTTTTTTCTTCGATTTACCCTCCCGCTCAACAGATTTATCACATGATCGCAATTTAATTTTTAAATAATAGAAAAAAATTTATTCTTAAGTTTTGGATTCAAGTTATTTTGGACCTAACTTTAAATGTTTGGTTTTTAAATTCAACTCGTTAATTTAAAAAAAATTATAGGTCTAATATTAACTTTTTAAAGTAAGGTGTTTGAACAATCTTTTGAGAAAATATATATCTACGGGGTAGCAAACATTTTTTTTGAAAGCTTAAATTATCTTATCCAAAAAATATACGCAGGACGATATGGCAAGCAACAACCACGTGATCACAATTTAATAGAAATCTCTTTATTTTTATTGGCCTAAAGCCAAAAATAAATTGGAGGCATAACTTTTAATTATTTTTTTATTTTTTAATATCTGAGATTTAAAGTTATGTCTTTCTTTTTAATATATCAAAATATTTTTTAATCTTGTGGTCTTAAGCATATCATATGGAATTAAATTTAAAAATTAATCCAAAAAGAGAAGCATTCTTTAATGCTTCGAAACAAACTAAAAAAAGACAAATAAATTAAAAAATAATATATATATATATATAATATTATTTTCTTTTCGTTAAAAAAAGCTTATCATAGTTTTATTATTACTAAAAAAAGATTGGGCCCTTTGAATTAGGGGGCCTAATGCCTCATTTTTAAAGGTATAAATTTTAGTTATCACATAGTTTTAATATGAAATTACAATCTATCCCTATTTAGTTTGTAATTACATTAATTTCTGAAAAAGTAAAACAAACCGGATACATAAAAAACTAGCTCGGATACATTATAAAATAAACCGGATACATAATATGTAGCTCGGATACATTATAAAATAATTTAGAATTAGAAGAAAAATAAGGGATTTTAGAGGTTTTTTTAGAAATAGAAGGGAATATTAGAAATAAGGGAAACATAAGACGTGTATTTCAGTAATTTTTAAAGACATGGAGCCGATCCTGATTAGAAGTTTTGGATTCGAGTTTTTGGGCTCAACTTTAACTGTTTGACCTTTAGATTTTTTTTCATTAAACTATTATTTTTTCAAAATTATAGGTTCAAAATTAACTTGTTTGGTCAAAGTTCAAAAGTAATTTTTTTTTTTCTTTAGAAAGATGCTTATTCTTATTTTTAAAACTATAATTTTTTTAAAATTATAGATCCAAAATTAACTCGTTTGATCAAACTTTAGAGAGTTCAAAACTGTTTTTTTTTTCTTAAGAACAATGCTTATTTTTATTTTTTTAAGTGAGATGTTTGACGATTCTTTCGAGAAAATATGTATTAGCACACATTATTTTTCGAAAGCTTAAATTATCTATACTTTTCAAAAAAAAAAAAAACTCAAAGGTACATTTTTTTATGGACAAATTACTTAACTACACTCCTTTACTTACCTTAATATCCATTTATCCCTACTTATTTCAAAATTTTCAAAAATCCCTTATTTACCTATGTATCCCGTGCACAACGCTATGTATCCCGCAATGTGGAATGTATCAAACGCTATGTATCCCGCTATATGGAATGTATCAAACCTAATGTATCCCGTGCACAACGCTATGTATCCCGCAATGTGGAATGTATCAAACGCTATGTATCCCGCTATATGGAATGTATCAAACCTAATGTATCCCGTGCACAACGCTATGTATCCCGCAATGTGGAATGTATCAAACGCTATGTATCCCGCTATATGGAATGTATCAAACCTAATGTATCCCGTGCACAACGCTATGTATCCCGCAATGTGAAATGTATCAAACCTAATGTATCCCGTGCACAACGTTATGTATCCCGCAAACATCATTT